TCCAGCACCCTCACCTCTGCTAGGAGCCCCTGTCCTGGGAGAATGCCCAACTCCAGCTGCCTTGCCCCTCCCAGGGGTCCCACAGCTGCCCCTCCTTTCCCTGACCCATCCCACTTAATCCTCTAGATTCAACTCCCCAGTCTGGGGGTGAATCAAGTCACCCCCGAGGGGACTGTCCCACAATGGAAGCACTGAATTGACCCTGGACAAGGAAGGATTAAGGAGGAAGGGGAGAGAGACCAAGGATTTGAGAATCTTGCCAGCAGGGCACCCAAAATAGAAATGGGGTGCAGGCTGTCTTTGGTTTGGGAACTCGGGAAGAAGGGGCCCCATCCTTGCCTCAGGACACAACAGGGTGGGAGATGGCCCTGGAGGGTGGGCAGAATGGCAGAGGGTGGAGGGAGCCAGGCATTTACTTGCTCTCCTGGTGCATCCCCCTCACCTCCCCACCATGTGGCCTTTTCTCCCCTACAGGGCTGGGATAGGGCAGAAGTCACTGCTCACTGCCAGGGAAGCTACTAGTCCACAGGGTGCATTTGTGCAAGCTAGAAAATGAGAGGTGGTTCCGCCTGGCAGATACAGCTGCTTGCTAGGCAGGTGGAGTGGGGCTTGTGAACAGCCTGGCCCTCCATCCACCGGAGCCTGACCGCAGGAAGACACGCAGAGGCCCTGCCACAGGAAAACAAGGCCAGCCCCAGCTTCTGCGGGTAGAGAGGGGACACAGGATGCAAGGAGGAAGGATGCAGGAAGTTGAGGCTGCCCTGAGAAGGTGGTGGGACACTCCCTCCCTCCCTAACCACCCACACCCATACCCAACACTGGCTGAATTGAGAAGAGGGCAGAAAAAGGGGGGCGTGGCAAGGGCTGAGAAGTCACCTGAGTCAGAGAGAACAGAGCCCCTCAGGAGGAAGCACAGGGTCTGAGCGCCTCCGAGCCAGCGCTGTGCTGATGCACAGCCCATCTGCCCAGATGTTCACACACCTGGTAAAGTCTCGAAAGCACATCTGTGTCCCTGGAGCAGCAGAAGCCATCTGTTGTGGCCAGAGCCCTGCTGACAGCTTCCAGCAAAACCGGTTGGGCTACATCCTGTCACATGATGAGCCCTGCCAGATGGGGTGAGTGTGTGGTGCCCAGGGCAAGGTCTTTTGCGCTGTGACTCACCCCACATTCCCCTGATCAGGGTTTCTAAACAGGAGATTTGCAAGACCCAGTGCACTCCTGCAGTTACATGCACGCACTCACTAGGGGAGGAGGGGCAGGGTGTGTGCAGCGCTGCAGCTGAGTGTGCATGGGAGTGTTTCTCACAGGCCAGGGATGGGGGAAGAGGTGGAGCTCTCAGCAGCAGGAGCTCTGCTGGCAGTGCCCCAGGGAAAGGTAGAGACCTGTCTAAAGGGTATGGGACACACAGGACGCACAGCAGCGATCTCGAACCCTTCCTTTTGCCCCTCCTCTCTGACCCTCACTCTGGTCAAAGGCAGCCTCCAACCTCACCGAAAGCTGGAGTGCAGGGTTAAAAATAAAGACCCCTCCCCACCAAAAAAATAAAAGGAAAAGTCAACCAGAAAGGCTGGGTGGGATGCTCGAGGCAGAGGGCTGGGGCCTTTCCACCTCCTGTAGCTCCTAGGACTAGCTGCTGTGTCTAGAGAAGAATGGTGATGGAGGTGGTCAAGGGAGGGTGGCCCTGTCCCCATTCTGCCCTGGAGATGGTACCCAAACTGACAGAGCAGTGCCAGGCCTCCCCATCCCCAGCCAGAAACAGACCAGGAGGCCTCTCTGTAAACATCGCCCACAGAAAAAGGGGCAGGATGGTGGGAGAGTATACGGATCTTCCCCCTTCTCCTGTTCCGTATTTTTAAATAAAATAATTACCCCACCCTCAACCCCTCCCCATCTCTGGAAGTCCCCACCCCAAGCCCAAAAGAAAACAGTTTAAGAAAAGTAAAAAACGGTGATTCAGAACTTCCCGCTTCGGTCTCGGAAGAAGCCCTCAGCAGCCTGGGCCTCGCGGAAGGTGACGGTGATGGAGTTGGCGGTGATATCTGTCACTGTCACTTCACTTGTGGGGAGCGCAGGTGTCCAGGGAGGGGGCCCCTCGGCCAGGTCTGCATCTGCTACAGCCATGGGAGAAAGACAGACAGACAGATGGAGGACAGCGGTGACAACAGGCGGGGAAGGTGGGAATAGTGGCAGCATGCAGACTACTCCGTACCCCCAAACTCAGGCTGCCCTCTGACTTCCCAGCCAGGCCAGGCCTAGTTCAGGACTGGGCAAACGGGAGGGGCTCACTACATTTCTCTTCCCTGGCTGGGCCAGAGCTCATCCCGAGCGGGACCACAGAGAGCGCTCTGGGCTGGGTGCCAGGGTCCTCACAGGCTGTGTGGCCTCCGGAGCACCCCATGCCCTCTCTGGGCATTAGGCCAAGTGGACCTGATGACTCAAGGGATCTATCCAGCTCTGAGGGTCTCTGGGTTGGGCCACCTTACCCTCCTCTTCGGGGGGCTGCTCAGCAGGCTCCCACTCGCTGGCTGCCTGCAGGACGTCCGGGGCCGGTGACTCCTGCAGGAAGAGCTCCCGTGGATGGCTGTGACTCTCCAGGTTGGGCCCGCGGGGTGGGAACTTCTTGCGTGAGAGCCGCAGGTACTTGTGGGCCTTGCGGGGCTTGCGGAGCGGGAAGGGCAGGGTGGGCACCAAAGGGCCCTTGTCCACCAGCTCAGGTGCCCCCGCCTTGACCACCCCCTCGGGGCTCCCGCTGCCGAGTGGGCGCGTCAGGGAGAAGCAGAGCTTCTCCTTGCCCTTGGCCTTGTGGGAGCTCCGCAGGTCCATGCTGTACAGCCGCTGCGGGGGCAAGCCAGGGCACGGCGGGTCAGCCCTGCCCTCCCACCTGCTGCCGCGCCTTTGCTCATGCTGTTCCTCCCACCTGAGTGCCCTTCCCCATGTTTGATGGCCCAGAGGCAGCCACCACCCTACCCCATCCAACCCCGAGCCGCCCTAACCAGCCCCAGCCCTACAGCCCCACAGGGCAGCCTCATCTCCCCACGGGGCCGTGAGGGGCTCAGGGATGGGGGCCACAGGCATGCCTTTGGTACACAGCAGAGCATGCCAGAGGTATGAAAACCAGATCTGATGCACGAAGCTGAGAAATGGAGGGGAGGGGTTCTTCTTCATTGTAGGAAAGAAATCTTTGCTCACTGAGGGGCCCCCAAAGCTGAGACAGCCAGCTCCCCAGGGAGATGGTGTGAGGCAGGGCTCTGAAGGTTCTTGGGGCAAGTTAACCAAGGGGGACACAGCACTGAGTGGCGCCTTCCTGCCAGCAGCCTTCAGACACCTCTGGATCCCTTCAGGGCACAGCTCAGCCCTGAGATGCTGCATGGCCGCACGCGGCTTAGGCCTCTGTTGATGCCCTGCCCCACTCTTGTTAAAACTGGCTGAAAGGAAGGCTGTTCCACGACTCTAGGGTTGGTGTTTCACAATTTGGGGATTTGTCTTATTGACTCTGGGGAGTAATTTATACAAGTCCAGGAAAGATCCTTGGTGCTAAAATGTTGGGAGGGCCTAGATCACTCTGGGATAGTACCTTCTACTGCCACCTCTCACCAGAGGCCAAGAGCACCCAGGAAGAGGGTGAGGCCATGAGATGGGACCTGTAGGCCAAACATCTCCAGGTGGGAGCAAAGATCACATGTGCAGGCTCCGTTCTCTAGTCCCACCTGCTAATGTCCATCAGTGGGCATGGGGTGCAGGTCGTCTTGGTGATGATGAGGGCTGAACTGGGTGGGGATTGGGAAAATACTGCAATGCTAGGAGGGCTTATTGTATATGCAGCTTTATCAAAAGCCACTCCTTCAGCCTGGCTTGCAGGCATCACAAGCCGTGTAAACTCCCACAGTTCTGCAAGATGGACCCATCTCTGTGCTTCTCCACCTCACCAGAGAGAACTATAGCTACTAACAGGGACCCGGGAGCAGCAGAAGTCAGGTCTGACCTTTAATCCAGCTGTGTGACCCTGGGTGAACTACTGGCCTAGCTGAGTTTGTTTCTTCTTCAGGGAAAAGATGAAGAAGCTGTACTGGCTGGCCCCCAAGATGGCCCAACAGTACCCACCCCTGGGAACTCACACCCGTGTGCATCCCCTCGCACACTGAATACCACACTGTGGGACTTCCAAGGCTGGTCATTAAAGACACTGCTTCTTCCTTGCTCCGTCTCTTGGATTGCCCCCTTTGGGGGAAGCTAGTGGCCATACTGAGAAGTCCACACAGTAAAGAACCAGGTCGCCTGTCAACACCTAGCACTGACACACCCGTAGGTAGTGCTGTGAATAGCACTTTGGTAGAAGACTATACAGCTCCAGTCAAGCCTTCAGATGAGTGGATCCCTGGCTGACATCATGACTGTCACCCAAACTAGAATCACTAAAGACCTAGCTAAAGCACTCCCGAATTCCTGACCCACGGAGACTACGTGACATCACAAGTCTTTATTGCTTTAAGTTGCTTAGTTACAGGGGAATTTATTACAGAGTAGATGATAATACACCTCCCCTAGAGGTTAACTGTGCAGACGAAGTATGTTCATTTGTGAAGAGCACCGAGCACAGAGCTGAGCATGGAGAGGATGTCTGACAGATGCTACTTTCCTTCCTGGGACCCAATTTACACCAAGCCCCGTGGAACATGCCCACTGCATGAAGGGAGGCCCATCTATCTGGCAAAAGCCTCAGATGATATACTATCAAAAGTGGGCAGGAGAGTGGACAGGGCTCACACTGCACATGGACCAAAAAGACTTATTTTTGGTTCCAAACACCTGGATGGGCCTTAATGATAAGGAGAGCAGATATTCCTATCATTCCAATTTTACAGGTGAGAAAACTCAGGCTCAGAGAAGCTAATCACACATAATTATTTCAAATCACAAAACTGCATTCCTTCAGACTCCATGGTCTTTTCAGTGAAAGCAGTGAGGTCAGCAGAGTTCCCCCAAGACCTGGGCAACAGGATGCCACAGAGTCAAGACCCCGCTTGTGGCAAATAATTGGAAAAGGAGGCCTGTAGGGTTCTTAGTCAAAAATGACACGTTTCTAAGACATTCCAAGGCTGTGGGTCCAGAATGTCAAGAGTCTCCTTTCCTTGAATTCTAAAATTCCAGGCTCCCATGTTTCTACAATTCTAAAGTTTTTGTCTTTAAGGATCTCAAATATTATAATTTTGTGTTTGGGGAACTCTGAATATCAAAAAAGGCTCATTTATAAGATTCTAAGCTTTTAAAATTCTAGGAGCCCATTAGCCATATAGCCACCCTCCTTCCCACCACAGCACCTCCCCCGGGGTTGCCTTCCTGGGGCACCAGCCCCACATTCCGACTTTTCCCAACTACTTCCATTGGACCTTACCCGCCAAGTGCCTCCCGCCCACAGCGCCCTGGGTGAGGCCAAGGAGGGGGAGTGGTTCAGCTCAACTAGCTGGGCAATTGCAGGGTGAGCAGGGGACCTGTGGGTGGGCACCAAGGCTGGCGGGTTACCTGCAGCAGAAGCCGCTTGGGTTTCGGACCTCTCTTCCTATACCCCGACGCTCGGTCTCTCTCCTCCCTGGGGTGCAAAGCAGATGGCAGAAGAAAAGAAAACACTGGTGACATTTAAGGGAAAGTAAGGTGTCTGCTCCACCCTGCCCTCCGCAGTCTATGGGAGAGGGGACATCCTCCACGGCCACCTCCAATCCTGGGGTAGGGGTTCCTCCTGTCGCTCTCTTTAGGCCATAACAACAGGGGCACATGTTTAACTCCCAGGGCCTCGGTCTTCTCAGCTTACAAAGGCAACAGCACAGCCACTGGTCCCAACTGCTGAGGCGGGACTCGGATGGCATCTCCAAAAATGTGTGGCCTTTCTCAGGTTAGGACAGAGCTCTGCTCTACGTGCTCCTGGGAACATGTAGCTTCCTCTCTGCTTCCTCCCCTCCTCCTCTCTTTCCCTTTTCTCCCCTCTCTCTTCTTCCTCTTTATTATTTTAACCTTTCTCCTTCCCATTTTCATAAATAACAGGGATGTCTCTTGTCCCTTTTCAGAGCCCTGGTGATGAGCTGAGAAGGGAATCTTCCGCCCCTGGTGAAAATGGTAAGCTCCGGTTCCAAACCCTGGAAGGTCAGGCCTAGGACCCCAGTCAGGGTCACGAGGACAGACCCGGAGTCCAGGCCATCAGATTCTGGCTTCCAGTCTGCAGCCCGCATACCCATTCCTGCCTGCAAACTGCAGGGAGTGGGGTGAGAGAGTGAGGTGGGGGCTTGCATCCTGTCCAGCTCTTACCAACACAGAGTCTGGTATCCGGAACACCTGGACACTCTGACCATTTGTGTCCGGGGCTTAAGGGCAGAGACTGCCACAGGGCTGTGACCCCAGCAAGCCATCAGTGCCCTCAGACCCTCCTGGTAAGCAGGGAATCCCCAGTAGAGCCCCCCTGCTAGCCTCCTGAGTCTCATTAAACCCTGCAAAGCATGTGTCAAATGGACATCATTCCCTTTCACCAAGACTGAGGGAAGGAGTGAGACAGGCACACAGTGGGTCTACAGAAGTCTCTGAGCTCCGAGTTTGTTCCTTAACTATTGACTTGTGCCTCAAAATATCACGCCATTCCTTTACCAGGACCCACTCTGCCCTCCCTGAACTGTGCCACCCCCATTCTTTAGATGCCCCTGTCCTCCCATGGCTGTCCCCACTCCTCCCTCACCCCCCACAGCTTCCCAGTCACACCACTCCATCAGCCACACTCAGAGCCACACTTGCCTCCATGCTGCTCCTCACACACGGGCCCTCACCCCTGGGTCTTTGCACTCACTGCGCATCACCTGGATGTTCTCTAAAATTCTCACTAGGCTCATTCCCTCAATTCAGGTCTCTGATCAAACACCACCAGCTAACTACCCTGGGAAACCAGCCATCCCTCTCCCTGTCCCCTGTCTTGTCACTGCAGCAGTGGTCACCATCTGATATCATATGCGCTCATTACTGTACTTTTATTGCGTGTCTCTGCACTGGGATGTGAGCCACACGGGGGGTAGGGACACTTGCTGGAACCCCAGCACCTGGAACGGTGCCTAGCACGTACTAGGACTCAGTAAAGACTTTTGAACAAATCAAAGAATGACCAGTTGACCCCTAATCCCCATCGGAAGATATTCTCACCTGTGTGCCCACACTCATGGCTTTACAAAGTGCCCTCACATACCTTTGCTTCCCAGGAAAGCCCCTCAAGGTCAGTGCACTATCCCCATTTCACAGATGGGGAAACCGAGGCTCAGAGGGAAAGGCCTTGCCTGACACCTCACAGCAGCTGAGTGGCAGAGCCAGGTGCCAGGAGTCTAATCCAGGCCTTTGAAGACTGCCCAGCTCTCTCCCCACCACATTCCAGGGGATTCTCCCAGGCTCACAACCACTTGGGTCAAGGCCCCACAAGCACTCAGGAACCAGAAAAAAGTTATGGGGCAGGGACACCCTCATTTTTAAAGGCAGGAGCAGTGAGGACTTGTCTTTTGAATTGGCAGCAGGAGATGTGCTGGGGGAGAAGAGATGAGAAGGGGGCAAGAGGGGCAGAGGAAGGGCATCTGACGTGCAGTCAGGAGCCTGGGTTGAGTCCTGGTTGGGCTATTTCCCATCTGTGAGGCTCCTGGACAAGTCCCACAGCTCCTCAGAGCCTCAGTTTCCCCATCTGTCACGAGACCCTCAGCCCTGTCTCAGGAGGTTCCCAGAGGGGCTGATTTTAGGAAATGGTCTGCACTGCACAGGTCAGTGTTTGGGGAGAAGCTGCAGGACATGGGCTGCCTGCTGGCAGGAGGTCAGTAACCCTGGACTCACACAGCAGAAGGGAATGGCTGGGTTCTGCTCAAAGGGCCCCCCCACCAGCAGAAAGGACAGGTTGTCAAAGGCTCCCTGTGAGATGGGCCCCCGTGGGTATGGGAGGAGCTGCCAATCACTAACCAACCTATGGGTCTCAGCAGAGTGCTGGCACATGTGGGAGACTGAGCCCCAGGTGGCTTTGCCCAGGGCCACCCAGCTAGGAGGGGGCAAAGTGTGGAGGACCAGAACTCAGCTAGCCTGGCTCCAAAGCCACCCCCTCCCCAGCCCAGGCCTTTCCCGAGCTTCATCAGACTGTTTCTCCTGCTAAGGGAATCTCCAGGGAGCACATCTGATCTCTCCCCAGGTGCTTGCCTGGGAATTACTGATATTGCTGCCCCTCACATGTAGGGCATCACTATGACACATTTTTACATTCATCACTGCAACTGAAACCCCTACCTTATGGAGAAGCCGCAGCACGAGTTATTGGGGTGGCCCAGTTACAGCAGAGAGACCGAGGCCTGGGGAGGGGAGGGAAGTGGCCGACATCACCCAGCAACAGGAGAGTAACCAGGGCCCCCAGCTGCCCTGGAGCTGGTGCCCACCACCTTCCCCCAGCTGCAGACTAGACCAAACCCCACTCCTGAGCCTTTGCTCCTTGTTCAGAGCTAAGGCAGCAGCGGGCTCCCTAGGAAACCTCTGAGCCTGTATGTCAAGCAGCCCCAGGGCAGGCTGAGCCCCTTACTTCTCCTCATAGGCCATGACCAGGCGGGGGTCCAGGATGTGCTCCTCTGGCTCCCATGTGCTGTACCTGGGAGAAAAAGGAGAAGTCAGAGCTGCCTTGCTCTCCCCTGGCAATCAGAGGCTTCAGCTGCTCTATCAGGGCCGACTGTCTGCAGGCCCTTGCCCCTTCCTGGTCCAGGAAATTGTCACTTACTCCTAGGAGCTGTCCCTGGCCAGCCAAGCTAGGTCACGGGCCTCCAAGGGGTTCTAATGACACCAGAACTCCCCTCATTCTAAGCACTGATCACACCACCCTATAAACGTCTGTGTCCAACTCCTGATTAGACCCTATGTCCCCCTCAGAAGCACAGGGTGCCTGGAAGAGGGCAGGGCCAGTAAATCCCACATTCCCTTCATGGAAGAAGAGCCTGTGGTAAAGGGCAGGGGCTCTGAGAGAGACTGCCTGGGTTCAAGTCCCAGCTCTGCCCTTGAGAGCTATAAGACCTTGAACAATTTCCCTAAGGTCTCTGTGCATCGATTTCCCCATGTGCAAAAGACTGTGCTGGAAAAAGTATTCATGTGTCTAAGTGTTTAGAGTGGGCCTGACACACAGGAAGTGCTCTGTGCTTATCACTGTTGCTTTCCCCAGCCTCTCCTCAAGCCCCAGCCCCAGCACAGCCTCTCTTGCCAGGCTGAACTTTCTTTTGGGCACACATCTGTACCATCGCGACCAGGTCTGAAGTGCCCTTGCATTGTGGCCTGGCTCACGGCTGTTGTACTTGGCACCTGCCATAATTACTGATGAATACAGCTGGCGTCCTGGTAGGCAGATTGTAACCCCTCCCCAGAGCACCCAGCCCAGGCCCAGCCCCCAGATGCTCTGGGAATTGCTCTAGAAGCTACTGCAGAGTTTTGCTCACCCTAAAGACATGTGAAACTGAAACTGGTTATATTCAGTATATTTTGGGTAAAACCCAAACTATGAGCAACCAGAGGCTAGCAGAGACTCCAAACCTTCCTCCCCCAAAACAAAGGTTGAGTTTCCTCAACGGGAAGTAGTCATAAGAAAGGGGAGTTTTGTGTTCCTGCTGTGGGCTGCCCCGTCCTCCCTCTTTCTCTAGCTGTTTAAATGTTTCTACCTTGCTCTAGTTAGTCCTCTCTGCCCTGCCCACTTCCCCACAGCCCTGCTCATTTTTGCTGATGTGACTGCTGTGGGGTTCCTGGCAAGTCCCTAACCTTCTCTGGTCCTCAGTTTCCTCATCTTAGAATCACTAGCACCACCACAGATAGTGACAGCAAGGAGTGAGAGCAGACTACTGCCATCCATTCCTCCTCACACCCTTCGAGGGTAGATGACCCATTTACAGATGAAGACACTGAGGCCCAGAGGGTAAGCATCTTGCCAAGGCCGCTGAGATAGTGAGACTGCAGTCTGTGGTTGGAACTCAGCTGAATCTGGCTCCACACCGAGCTGGGATGTCCTTGGGAGAGAGTCACTGCCTGACTGATCAAGTCCTCAGTGTCTGACTTGGGGGCCTGGCACACGGTGCGTACACGGAAAGGGTTGGCAGATTCAGAGGGGACTGTTACAGGCCTGGGGCATCCATCCGTGGGGTCTGGGACAATAGCACAGGGTCAGGCTTGGCAGCAGGAGGCCCGGCCCTGCTCCATGCTAGGGGAGGGGAAAGGGAGGTGCAGTGCACAAGCATCTGTCGAACACCCTGGGCTCCCCTAAAATGGAGGCCACTAGCGCCCCTTCGCAGGGTGGCGATCCGGAGGCAAACCCGATTCGAGAATGGGGGGGCGTGAAGGGGGACCAGGGACCAGGGACCGGCTGAGCGGTACTGAGTCCTCCGTCGGCAGCGGGGGGCTGGGGGACG